CCCCCCGCCACAAGCCTGCCTTCACCGAGGAGGACGTGCTCAACATCTTCCCTGTGGTCAAGCATGTCAACCCCAAGGCCTCGGATGCCTTCCACTTCTTCCAGAGCGGGCAGGCCAAAGTACAGCAGGGTGCGTGGCCAGGGGAGCCTGGGTGGAGGTGGGGCTTCCCTCAGCCCGGCCTGACCTTGCCGCCCTTGGGGGTGCCCTGCAGGCTTCCTGAAGGAGGGTTGCGAGCTCATCAGTGAGGCCCTGAACCTGTTTAACAACGTGTACGGAGCCATGCACGTGGAGATCTGCGCCTGCTTGCGCCTCCTGGCCCGCCTCCACTACATTATGGGCGACTACGCCGAGGTGGGCCTCGAGCACCCCGGGCTGTGTCAGCAGAGGTCTTGGGGCCTGGCCTAGCACTGGGGAATATGAGTGAGGGTCCCGGGGCTGCATCGTCACCCCTGTGGTGGCAGGAAAGGGAATCCGTGTCTGAGTTAGGGCCTGCTTGCCGTGGGCCCATGTGGAGGAGCAGACCGAGTTCAGATAACCCTGCGAGGGGTCCTGCTCCTGCTTGGGCTTCCCCGCTCCACCCCTCGGTGGCTGTGTCCTTGGGAGAGCTGGGGCCTCCTGTGCCCAGCTCTCCTGAGGGCGGATTCAGCAGCTGTGGTGGCAGAGTCTCCCCACAGCACACTGGCAAGGGCAGGCTTCTGAGACACCTAGGATAAGAGTTGTCAGCACAGTTCCTGGCGCCTACAGAGCCCTGTGTGGAAGCTGCTAGGAGAGTTTCTGCATCTTTAACCATCACATGGCCTGTGTCCAGACCGCTGCATCTGCCCTGGTGTCGTGAGGATGCTCCAGGTCCCTGCAGGCTTAGGCTCCCCACCCTCCCCTCAGCCAGAGGAACTGCTTTTTTCGTGTGTGTGTGTTTTAAATATTTTACTAGTTTAGTTCTGTATGTATGTATTCGTGTAGGTTATTTTTTCCTTTTAATGGTAGCACGTATGTGTGAGAGACTCGTAGGGAATTTTTTTTAGGGAAAGTATCTCTGACTGGGTCTTGACAGGCCGTGATCCCAGCCCTCCAGCTCTTCAGGACCCGGGCGCCTGTGTGTGCACAGCGTCTCTCAGGCCAGCCCAGGACCCCAGCAGTGGCTGCCTTAGACTTCAAGCACAACAGGGTGCTAGGACTGTGGTTAGGCCCTGTATTTGCACAGACTTTGTTAGGGAGAAGGTGGCTTAAAAGGTCTTTGACTTGGGTGGTCATGAGCACTTGGTTTTGACCCTTCCCCTGCTACCTTTGTGCAAAGCGGAAATGGAGAGCATAGCTAGGGGTGATGAGGCCTAGCGTCCAGAGCTGAGTGGGAGGCTGCTTGCTGGGCATGGGGTGATGCCCGCCCTGGGAGCAACACATCCCTCCTCTCCCCAGGCCTTGAGTAACCAGCAGAAGGCAGTGCTGATGAGTGAGCGAGTGATGGGCATTGAGCACCCCAATACCATCCAGGAATACGTGAGTACCCCCTGGAGCTGGGTCTGCATGGCGGGAGCTGCTGCCCTGCCCTGCCCTGACCCGGCCCTCGCCCACAGATGCACCTGGCCCTGTACTGCTTCGCCAGCAGCCAGCTGTCCACGGCACTGAGCCTGCTGTACCGTGCCCGCTACCTCATGCTGCTCGTGTTCGGGGAGGACCACCCCGAGATGGCGCTGCTAGACGTGAGTGTGGGGAGGGGCAGCAGGGACAGGCCTGCTGCGTGGGAGTTGGACTGACAGGCTCTGCTGACTGCCCCCCAGAACAACATCGGGCTGGTGCTGCACGGGGTGATGGAGTACGACCTATCACTGCGCTTCCTGGAGAACGCGCTCGCCATCAGCACCAAGTACCATGGCCCCAAGTCCCTCAAGGTGGCTCTCAGGTTAGGCTGTCCCCTGACCCCAGTGAGATTCCTGTCAACTTCCACCTCCTCTGAGCCCGGGACTGGTTTGTTTCCCCTTGGTGGATCCCGGGGAGGGATCTAGAGCAAGTCGACCCTGCCCCCCCATCAGACCCCCAGACTCTTACAACCTTCCCCTGCCCCATATTATGCCTCCCACAGCCACCACCTTGTGGCCCGAGTCTACGAGAGCAAAGCCGAGTTCCGGTCAGCCCTGCAGCATGAGAAGGAAGGCTACACTATCTACAAGACCCAGGTGGGTTATACCTGTGGAGCTGCAGGGCCATGGGGTCATGGGGGCAGCCCTGAGCACGCCCTCCCTCTGTCCCCGACAGCTGGGTGAGGACCACGAGAAGACCAAGGAGAGCTCCGAGTACCTCAAGTGCCTGACCCAGCAGGCAGTGGCCCTGCAGCGCACCATGAACGAGATCTACCGCAGCGGCTCTAGCGCCAACATCCCGCCTCTCAAGGTACAGCCCTCAGTGGGCCATGGGACTGCCCCAGCCTCTTGGCCTCAGGGCTCACCCACTCCCCTCCCTCACCCTTAGTTCACAGCTCCCAGCATGGCCAGTGTCCTGGAGCAGCTCAATGTGATCAATGGGATCCTCTTCATTCCTCTCAGGTGAGCGTGCGCCCTGCACCCCACTTCCAGGTCAGCCATTTTTTTGTTTTTTGTTTTTTTTTTCCACTCTTTTAAAATATGTAATAGGCCATGGGAACCAGCAGTTAGCGTAATGGCTATGTCGCTGGACTCCCACGTAGTCGACCGCGGTTCTCGTCCCGGACCCAGTGGCTTAAAACTCAC